GCCGTATTCTCCAGACGTTGCTCCCTCTGACTATCACTTGTTTCGATCAATGGCACACGGCCTGGCTGACCAGCACTTCCGGTCTTATGAAGAAGTAAAAAATTGGATCGCCTCAAAAGATGACCAGTTTTTTCGATGCGTGATTCGTACGCTGCCCGAAAGATGGGAGAAAGTAGTGGCCAGCGATGAACAATACTTTGAATCATAAATGTATAACCAGTTTTTTACAATAAAGCCTCGAATTTCGGAAAAGAAACGGCGGGAGCAAAGTTGTACACCTAATACATTATTTTTTTTTCATTTATATATTATTTTCTACACATACTCTTGTTTTATGTACTTTTCTATATTCTTGACGTTTTTGCGAAAGAGAAATCACGCTATTAATATACGCACCTCAAATGATTCCTCGGCACGTTCTGGATGTCTTTGTACACCAGGTGCAGCCTGACTGTGTCGGAGTAGAGGTCGGCGCGGATGGCCCACGCTTGCTTGTCGCGATCGTAACAGGGTGCTGCTGGTGGTACCTGCGGACCTAACGCTTGCACCTCAAGGTCGCAGATGGTCCTCGCCTCGAGCATCTCCAAGGACACCCGGAGCATGCCCTTGTGGGAGATTTCTGACCACCTGACCCTCGTGTTCCATCCGAAGCCGCAGCCCTCCGCGTCGGAGATGTCCTCGATCTGTCCCGAGTCGATCCGCCGTTCATTCTCGCCTAACGCCACGCTGTATCTCACTCTGCACCGATAATCGAAGCCAGTCAGTCTTATCAGGTAGACGCTCACGCGGTTTTCCTGGCCCCGACCGTCCGTGTCTTTGCCGTACGGGTAGATCGCCAGGTTCCAATCGAAGCCGCCGAAGGTGAAGCAGTCGGTCTCCAGCTTGCTCGGTTTCGTCTGACCGGCGAACACCGACGTCGACATCCTGACCTCGGTCATGTAGACGGTCCGCACATTCGTCATGGAAAGCTCCAGCTGAAACTCGCCGTTCGTGTCGGCGAAGTTACGGCTGTAGAGATCGGACACGGGGATGTAGTTGCGGTTGCCTTGGGCCGGCGCCTCGTAGGTGAACTTGACGCGCTTGCCGGAGAAGCCCTCGTTCATGGAGAAGTGCTCCCGATTCAGCAGGGTGAACGTGAAGTCCACGTAGACGCGGAGGTTTCTTGACGCGCCGCGCCATACCAGGTACACGCCCAGGACCTTAGGAAGGTAACACGCTTCGGATAATGTCGAGTTCCAGTTGTACGTTGGAACACGTATTTCGACCAGCACAATAACATTTTACTCGGTATTTTAACATTTCGATCTTTTTTTACATAAATTAGTCTTTCTTTAGTAGCTCTCGGCCATTGAATGCAATTACACGTGAAGCTTCTCGCGAGAGAATAACATCAAAGGCAACGTCGCGTAATTTCATCAGCATACGGGAAATATTGGCAAGTATGTAAAAATTTCAGTTGAAGTTTGCCCTCTTTCTTTTCGCCTTGCTCCACTTCCCTCTAAGGGAAGATAACTCAAAGGATTTTAATTCAAGGGATTTCTGAATTACAAAGAATTTCAAGGCATTCGAAAGTTCGCAAGTTCGAAACCTATTATATCTACTACAGTGGTGTCTGGCGGCCGAATGATCGATGCGAGGAATTTACAAAGATACGGATTAGTATTGGATAAATTGACAGTTTATTGAAAGCTTTGACTGATGATTTCCTATATTTCGTACAAGATAATAGTAATTATCAGCGCGCGAGGAACGCGGTTCTTTTTGGGGGTAAATTTAGGAGAAATTGATATTAATAGCAAAGCTTGATCAAGAATTTTGTAAAATCAACGAGGTCGTTTTAGCTTTAAAAATCGAAATTGAGTCGTTACCTTTTCCCCACGCGAGAAAGCGACCGCCCATTTTTGAAAGCCGCATACTAGTTCCTTGCTAGTGACGTCTCGTTCAGGATCGCGCACGACGCTTCTAGTGACGACGAAGGAGAAGACCCGCGTGCCATTGCGATCGTGTAGCTGCGCGAACCTATACAACAAAGCCATCACCGCATCTCGAGGGCACCTCTAATCCAATGGTCCGCGTTCACGAGAAGGATTCGTCCTGTTCGGCTTACGGGAATCTGCAACATAAAACACAATGCTCTCTGTCAATCGTCTCTGATAATATCATGAGATGATAACAATAATCATCATGTCGACAGCAATATTGATAAGAATAGGACAATGTAATAAAAGGAGTGTCCTGATCCTTGAACGTATCCTTTTTAGACATTTTTCGCATGTTTATATTGTTTCAAGTTCGACGAAACATATTTCATCAAGAGGAAGTGATAATAATTACTATCAGTGAATAATAGCGATTAATTAGATTAATTAGTGGGTAATTAGATATCTAATTATAGATCGTATAGCATGTTGGTATCATAATTGGGACGATCTTAAATATAAGGTAGGATTATGAATATCTCATAACATTAATCCTTATTCCAATAACGAGCGAACGTCTTACGAGTGTGAGAGGTGTGAGACAATCTTTTGGTGAGTTTCCAAGCGCGGAAAATTTTCGCCCGAATTTTCTCAAAATGCACGGGAATCAGTAGCATGTGCCGTTATGTAATCCGCTTTCACTCCTAAATACCGCGACGCACGCGACGGCCTTTGTGGTATTAATTGTCGCGCACAACGGGCTACGGCATTGAAACGGGCGAGTAGGCTCCGTGTGGTGTGGTTTTTCAACGGGCGGGAAAGCGGAAGGAGTGACCTGGTTTCGCGAACAGTCTCTAGATTTCCTTGCAGAAATGACACCGTCGCGTTCTGAATCGTTGCACATGCACGTGCAGACGGTATATATATATATATATATATATATATATATATATATATATATATATATATA